TTATCAACATTAAGCCCATAATAATTAATAAACTGTCTTATTTGACCGCCAACGCGTTGCAAAAGTTTCTTCTTACTTCAGAGAGTATTGGCCAGATTATCAAGCTTGTGTAAACACAAACACACTCAAGTGACCCTTTCTCTCGATCCTGCCAAATTAGAAGTAGACGAACGTTTTCAGGAAAGCGAACATTTTCAACATTTATCTAAGTGATATGCAGGTAATATGAATGAAGGCAATTTAATAATTTAAGTCCCATATTATTCTTATAAATGATTAAAGTTCAATTTCGTTGTGATGAATTTTTAAGGTCTGTCATCAATTCCATAGAAAAAATCGACGTTTGAAATAAACTAACTAACTCTAAGGGTAATGTTTCCGAGCGATCTCTCAGTCATCTTCAAGAAAACAATACTAAGAAATGAAGCTTGATTAATTATTTGTACGATGAATCGGAGTTCCAGTTACAGCACAATTATTTTATGGGCAGCGACAAATAAAAGTTTTAACAGTGAACCTGTTTAAATTTTTTTTAATGAAGCTACTTACAACGACTTATCACCAGACAAGTTCTCCCGAACTGGATGTTAAAAAACACTCATAGCAGGTGAGTAATATTCGCTATTGCATGTCATTATAAGTAGCTTCATCAACAAAATGATATAAACATACGGCATCGCAATTTTGCATAATCTTAAATTTTTCGGGATTCTCAGTGAGGACTGTCCTCGAACCGAAAGGAAATCCCCAGAGAAATAAAGAAAATTTATCCTAGGGGGAACCAAGCATTTTTCGTACTTGGACTCGCTCGTATCCACTTATGAATCATCTATCGTGTAGCTCCCCTCTGCAAAACACAAAATATCTCCAATATGCAAATCCAAGAAAAGGTTTTTAGGTACACACTAGTCAGCGGTGTTGAAAAATTTCCTTCAAGTATCCTCTGCGGCACTACACTGGCCGATTGTAAACTTTGAAAGTTTCTCGCAGGAAAAAGGGAAGAAGCCTAGGCCCTTAAGTTATGTTTATTTTCTCTGTTAAAGTCAACAGTAATTTAATCTTAATGTTGAGTAACTCCGACCATATTGATGATATGCTAAGAAGTGGATTAAGGAGTCCGTAAATAATGGCACCCGTAAAGAAAAGAGATTTTAAGATAAATCTTATCCATTTACCTGCACAATAACAAGGAGACGTAATTTTCTCGTTCATTTCATATTAAATTTATTCAACGTAGACGTTGTGTCTGTCTTTTACTCACATTATCTTTAATTACGACGGTCACTCATTTTGCTAATAGATAGCTCAAGTTTTACCAGCAGAGAATAGGGAATTCAAGTCGTCACACCAAAACGGTGGATCGAGTATTTTTTTCAAAGAAACTTCTTTGCATATTGATTTAGTGTTTATATTGTTTAACAGAATATTTTCCTTTTAAAGTTTAAAATACTACTTTGCAATTAAAAGACTTCTGCTACCAGACACCGCCTCTGGGCTTTGTGAATACCAAGTATGGATATTAACAAATCAAAAATAAGCTTAAGGATTATGAAGAAAAGTAAGAAAGAATTGTATATGAAAGAAATGTTTACGATTTTACCTACGTGGGGAGTTTGAGTACAATCTATAGTGTATTCCAGATAACCTACAGCGAGCATTCTATTTTTTATAGCGCTGAATAATAAAACACAGCTGTTTAAGTCTTTAAAACAACTTAAAAATGGCAAATGTATGTGCGCTCTCAATACAAAGGTTTTTTTTGTCACTATTTCCCTTGAAATCAAGCACTTTGTGAATTGCGGGAGGAAGAAGAATTTTTTTGGATTCATTTTATTGACGTACAGTTGCAATGAAGGATATTGCAATCCCCTGGTATCACCAATCAGCTTTATGCATATACAAAATTAAAATCCTTACACAAGTCAATCAATTAACCTAAATTTATGGGTAATTCGCAGCGTTCAGACAGAAAGGCACCTCTCCTAATTTGTTCGTGGCTTTAATTCAACTTTACGAGGTTTTGTTTTGGTTGGCTGTGACACGCAATTTGATGATTTAACTGACAGAAGTGCATCTTCTGTTGTTCTCAATCTTGAAATACACCTGGGGTTTCAGAGCGATGGAAATCGCTCCTGTCGAGGGAAACAAAAAAAAATAAAGTAATTATGAACATGCTTAGTCACAAGACTAAAACCCATCTTAAACAGATGTCCCTTTAGTCAGTTTTTAGAACTCACGAGAATAACTTTTGTCCGCTGAGAAGAACACTGGGAAGAACGTTTGATCCAAAATTTTAATGATTTTAACACGAAGCTGCGCTGAAAGAGAGGTGTAGTAAGTCTACAAGAAACATCTTAGCATCAGGTTATGAATGTTATTACAATGCTGTGACCAATGTGTTGAAGTGATAATCGTTTGCATTACTCGGAGGACTCTTTCTATCTACAAGCCCCTGGCACACCATGTGATATTTGCAACTTTCGCCTACATAACTGTTCGGAGGATGAGGCACATTGACGTGTTAACCGGACTATTGGCTTTGGTAGGCACGCTGATTGCTATCATTGGTAATATCTTGGTCTGTTTGACGATTTACAGAAATTCTCGGCTTCGAACGCCCACAAATGTGTACATCGCGGCCCTAGCCATTCTCGGTTTTTTATTCGCCGTCTTCATCGGGCCTACAGTAACGGCGACTCTTTTTGCAGGAGAGAGGTGGATCTTTGGAAGACAATTCTGCAGCTTTCAAGCGTTTATGACGTTGTTCATTGAATTCGCTACTCTCCACACTATGGCACTGACAGCAATTAATAGATATTGTCGAATAACTAAACCAAATATTTACAAAAAGCTGTTTCCGTCCAAACGCCGATCTTGTGGCATTCTGGTTCTGATTTGGGCAATCCAATTCGCATTTATACTGTCCTTCTCTTTGCCGTCCTTCGCGAAGTACGAGTTCAGTGAAAAGCGGATAAGCTGCATCCTGATATTCGACAGTTCCTCTGTAGACATTGTCTACAGCACAGTTAAAGCGGCTTTATATTTTGGCGTGACATCCGTAATAGTGGTTTATTGCTACGCTAAGGTGTTCTGTAACATTCGAGAACACACTCGCAAGATCTCATGCACGTTTCGAACGAGAGATAGGCTGAACATTGAAGAGATAAAAATAACTCGAACTGTGTTCGGCGTTGTGTTATTCTTCTTGGCTTGCTGGATTCCAGAGTACATTATATCCATTATAACACGGTTGCAACCCAATCATTTACATCCTTCAGCTAATCGAGTCATTGTGTTTTTCCTCTTTCTCAGCTGTTCCTTGACACCCTGGGTTTACGCAGTGACGAATAGAGAATTCCGAAATGAATTCAAACGCTTGTTGACTTGCAAAGCTAAGCGACGGGAAGAAGTGTCCGATTTACCAGCGACTGTCGAGGAAGGTGAGATGCCATGCGTAATTTCCGCTTCCACAAAGTCACCACGAAGATAATTACGCACTTTTATTCTGTCTTAAAAAAAACATATTTTGCCTAAGAAGAACTTTTAAAAGTCTTTCATCCATTGAGTAGCAAGCTCTTTGAAGGCTAAATATGTCATTAGATGAAAGCTTTTTATAGCTTGGAAGTACTGATTTCGGAACACCTTCGACGCTTTATTTATGCAAGTTGATCTGACGTTTGGAAGAATAATCTCCCCTTGTATGATTTTCAAGCACTATTTTCTGGTTTAAATTCACGTCGAATCGTCTAATCTTAGTTGTACAGGCAATCTTCACTGCTCAGTAGGACTAGCAGAAAGAGATCAACGCGTGATACCTTCGCCTCAGTTGGAGAGATCTTTGTTCAGTCCTCAATTAGCAGTTATGTGCCTTATTTCAGCTCCCTCGGAACATTCAGTATGCAGTCGATTCTAAGGTTACTTGGAATCATACTGTTTTGAGTTCATTTGTATAAAATAACATGCGCATGAAATAAAAAAACCACTTTGTTGTAAGAGGAACGATAAGGAGTCCTTTTCTTTGACGATGAAATTATAAATTTTTAGTGAAAATTTAAGGATCTAAGATTAATTTAGAACCACTTAGCAGCTTCTAAATTTTGTTGGTACACTTTATTGATTTACTGAGCCGTGATCGGTTATAATCACTTGACAATTCCGTTTAAGCGGAATTTCTTTTCAATGATTACACCTTTGCAGGGATCAGCTTTATATTAAAAAACACAATTTTATCTCTATAAAATGTATTTTGTGTTAATCTCTCTAGTCTTTCTCATTCTTCTATATAATTACTGCAGTCTGGATTCAGAAGAGGAACAGAATCATGTATGTGCACCTGACCATCCCCAGCCTATATGAAATGTCGAGTTGTACCCATCTTGCTTTGCGGTTCGGGGTTTTACAGGAAGTATTTTATTTCTCAAAACTGTTAACAGGAGCCTACAATTTTGGCTCCTCGGGAGAGTTCATGGAAATGCTTAAAAATTCGTATTTTAAGGAGCCTGGTAAAGTTATATCAGGTAAAATTCAATTCAGTTCCTTCCGAAGCCTTGGTAAATTTGGCAAATTCCTCAATTATTTGTAATGTACTGTTGCTATTAAACAAAGGAGACAAAGACGGCAGATAACAGACCCATAAAAAAGACATCAAAAAGGATCAAAGAACCGATAAAACACTGTACTGGAAACGAATGTAAATTCGTTTTTTTATGCTCGGTTTCTTTTCTTTTCTTTCTTTTTTCCTCGTTTTTTTTTCCTTTTTCCTTTTTTCTTTTTGCAGATTTGGTCAAGAAATAGCCGAAAATCAAAGTACGCAGCTAACGACATTAAGCACATTCATTTTTTTGATATTTCTCTCATTCTTACATTGAACTTGATTTCCTACCGGAGTAGAGAACGTTTTCTTGTAAGAAACCAACCTTCGACGTTTTTCCGTCCATTTGAACTGACTTGAAATCATGTAAATGAGCTTTAAAAAATCAAGCTGTTTATATTATGCTCTTTCTATTTTCTTTCTATTTGACTTTGCCAAAAATACCCCATGAAAAAGCAAATAAACTTATAGAAAAGTCATTTGTCATGCGTTTATGATCTATATTTTCAATTCGCTTGATCAATTAATATGCAGTCTTGCCTTTTCTGTGAACAATCGTGAGACGCCAAGTCACAAGGAATGGTACTTGAACGTTTAAATTATTCTAGTTTAACTGAAAGTTAATTTGTCATGACAGAGAAAATTAATTTTCGTCAAACGACTGACAGATTTGCTCGAAAAAATTATATTTCAATTCCATGCATCGATCTCAAGGGTCTTACTGAGAGTGTCTAATGTTGTTCTTGGCAGCGAGTTATTGATCTTAATATTTGCTTAACGGATGTCCGAATGTCTTCCTGCCTCAAGAAATAAATGAGGGGATTTAATGAAGAGTTTAGTACTACAGCAGTGCAGCTTATAAAAAGGGCCAAGAAGCTGTTCTTTTCCCTGTTAAATTTTAAAAAAATAATACAAATGAATTGAGGAAGATAGCAAAACCAATAAATGAATATCAGGAGCTTGCAACTCAACGTAGATTTTCTAAATTTCAACATATTAAACGGCTGGTTTTCAATTTGAATTTGTTGTTGCTGAATCTGAGCTCGATGTCGTCTGACAATTTTATGGATTCTAATCCAAGTATAAAACACAACTGAGAGACAGAACAACTCTAGAGCGACTACAGTCCACTGAAATATCTCGAAAGTCGAAAAAGACACCGTCGCAGCAGCGCATCCTACTGCCCATAAAAAACAAAGAAGGATTCTTATTTTAGTGATCGTGACGATCTCACGATATCGTAGATGCAGAGATATGGCTAAATATCTGTCAATGCTTATCAAAGTCATTATTAGGAGTGTCACCATACTGAAGAAGACGTTTAGAAAGAAGCCTGTAATATTCATCGCACATGACTTTACATCTCGATCATCCCGATACATCGATACCTGGAATACGACGTGAAAAGGTTGAGCCAAACATGCAACACCCAAATTGGACACGGCCAAGCCAAACAAAAGTGTGTTGGACGGAGAGTGAAGCGAGGGTGTGCGCCATATTGCGAGCAACGCCAAAACATTTCCAAACGTGGCTGCAATGCTGTTCAGTATCTGAAACGACATATTGAAAATGAGCAGCTCTGGATTTTCATGAAGAACCTCAACAAGGAGTCCATGGCAAATAAACTCTTGCACAGTGCATGATGTGTTAGCACAAGAAGACATCTTCTCTCACACTGAAATGAAAGTCTTTCTTTCTCTTTTTCAATCACTGGCCAAAATGTTCAAGGCAGTTTCAGCTGTCTTTAAGATCCTCTCTTTCTAGAAACACAGCCTGAATTTCCTCTCTTTGAATTTTTTATCTGCTTAGATAGCAAACGGAAGCCAGGGTGAAGATTTTCCTTGGATGGTAAAGTGTCCTTCAACAAAAACTTAGGTAATCACCTCAGTCAATCAGCTTGAAGGAAAATGTCACATATTTTTGTTTCTGCTTGGCTCAGAACAAAAATATAAAAAAGCAAATTAATGCATCCCTACATTGCTTTTGGAACCCGACTGAAAAATTACACCCCTTTTAATATGTGGCTATTTCCCCAGAATAATCATTTTACTGTTATACGTTCTTCCAGCTGCTTTCTTTGATGAAGTGGTGAGAAAAATTAAAAACCACTTACAGAGGCAGTTATCTTCGACATCTGTCATTTTCGTAATTACGCAGGAAAAACCATTAACGCTTTCGGTACAGAAATCATCTTAAAATAAAATAAATATGGTAGATTTATTTTTTATATTTTCTATTAGGATTAATGCAGGGAGATACTGAAATTTATTACGTGAAAAAGACAAATTAAAGTAGAGCTTTGTAATTTATTTACATTAGTGTGGCTGCTAGTTACCGTTTAGCATGGCAGTTTTACGGATTTTGCTTTTACTGGATTGCCCTTTATCTACATAAAATTACCTGGAGAAAGAAAAATTCAGACTATATCCACTAGCTTTAAAGCATGTTTAGCTGTTGCAGGGCGCGGAAGATTGTTTGGTTCTGTTTAAGAACAACACTTTTTACTTAACTACAGGTAAGGAATTTGATTTACTAACCATTGCCGTCCCCGAAAAATTTCCAAGATAAAATTCATTGCATCTGGGGCGGATCCAGGATTTATTGAAATGCTTCGAACTTTAGCAAAGGGGATGGGGATGGGAGGGGTGGGGAGGGGTGGGGATTGGTTACCCCGGAGAAATATACTTCCATAGGACATGCAATTTCCGACACGACGCCAATCTGCGTTTTTGATGCCTCGCCTTTAAGTGTCGAAATGTTACCCTTTTGTATCAAAATATCGTTGTGATACGCCAAAGCGATCGTAGATCCTGGATTCTCGCAATGCTTAAAGCAGCTAACTTTATTTACAAAAAGAATCTGTCAAATAGATCCGCCACAGGGGATAAACAGGATTGTAACAAGCAGGCGTTTTTCAGAATGCAAGAATTTTTAACCGTTTCCCTGAAGCGATTTATGTTGGACACTTTTCCTGTCGCCTCCTTTTCTTCCTCTCAGACAAAATCTTGTGGCAAAACTTTCTGATGCCAAAGTCGAGGAATTCGCAAACTGTTAGAGCACTTATTCCCAGAAATAGACCATAGTTTCCACCGAGACTCGCTGTGGAATGTTCAAAATGAAATCGTTAAACAAAAACTAGTCACGAGTGTTCCATAGCTACAACAGATTTCATCATCATCATTCGGAGAGATTGATTTAATCAGTGAGATTAAAAAATAAACGCATTTTCGGTCGAGTATTTTACGGCTACCAAACACTTCATGCATCGTTTTTTATGAAAGTATTTTACCCTAACAGGAGCCCTATCAGTAACAGGTCTAAAACAAGATGAATGTTGATACCTACCAAACAGTCCCCAGACCTCGTACATGGGAACTTGTTCCAACACATCGTAGTTCAAGTCTTTGAAATAGATGTCCAAAGAAATAATATTGTTGCTGTGAAAATCATTTTTAAAAAAGTTGTTTAATCATTAATAGTGATTACGATCGAGTGGAGTCCAATTTGGTCTGAGATCATACGAATGATTCACGAAATCGGACGACCGCGAAGCGGGAGTCCAATTCGACAATCACGAGTGTGGTTACAGACAGAATGGAACGACATGAAGTCCTGTGGCCAATTCATCAAAACTGTTACAATTTCCGAAAACAACGTTAACAAATACATTTAAGACAAATATCTCCGGTAGAGACAATGACTAAAGTAAAAAATTCCTCAATTTTGGGAATTTCATATAGGATAAATGGTTCCTTCTATGGTTATTGTGATCAATTCTTCAATTGGTAGATTTGGCTGTAAGGACTAAGTATGATTGGCTGCTCTAACTGTCCGATGACGGGTGTACGATTACAGCCAACTGTCCAGTTAGCGGGAAATGCACCAAACACGTTTGGGAAAATTTAAATGGTTACGTTTAAAATACGAACATTGATAATCTATCTAGTCTAGCCATCATTGTTCTTAAAATTGGTTACGCGGGTGGAACTCGGGAAAATTAATCAATAAGATAGTCACAGAGGCGACTCAAAGTAACATAAAATGTCACAGGGGGAAATGGTTATTTACAGTAAATAACTACACAAAGTCGTGGGGCGAGGGAAAATGCACGTGACTGAGTCGTGATTGTTTTGTTTTCTAGCACATCTCATAAATTGAGAGAATTGCACTGGTTTTCAGGAACAATCACATAGCGAACTATTGAAAGCAATTTAACATCCAAGACTACACAGAGGAAAATGAAACATAAACTTCAGGGGACTTACTCTATATATTTATGCTTCTCTGATTTGGTCATGTTGAGAAATGGCCGATATGTGTGTTGTAACATAGTAGATATTGTCCTGTTAGTAGTGCCATTGAACAATAACGAAAGATAATCCACAAACAAATCCTTCTGAAGTCCAGCGTACGACAGAGATGTCTCGTACTCCACGTGACTGCAAGGCTGAGGACAATCCTGCTCACATCGATAGCCATCTTTGGATGAGCTAAATTTTTCTGTAAGTTAGAAGTTAGAAATCTGAGGGAACTGATAAAACTGTGGTTGCCTTTGCATTATTCTTATCAAAAATGTTAAAACTTGCATCTGCTTGAACAAGTGTAACATTTCGATTCAAAGGGGGATTGTCTGCAGCAATCAGTGTAAGAAAATGACATATATATAGGTAAGAAGTAACAAAGCCTAATACATGCAATTGCATAATCATGTAATTTTATAAGGTTAGCCCACAGTGATACTTTCAACTCACCAAGAGTAGGAAGAACACAAATTACTGTGTCATTTGGCGCACAAACAGGAGCGTTTGCTGATGAAAAAATATGGACGTGACATGTTTCAGATAGGATAATATGATGATTCTTTCTTTAAAGAAGTCATGGATTAGTAAAAACCTCGTGGCTAATTTTACCAGTGATCTATCACAAAAGCTGTATCTTGATTGGCTACGAAACGCGATCTATCTCGTGATAGATAATGAGAAGAGTAATTAACCTTGCAGAGTGCAGTTGTAAGACAAAATGAGCCAGAAACCTGTGTCAGACAATGCAATAATACTCTTTGACATTCTTAGACGCGTTGACTACTTTTCACAAAATGTATTGTAAATTTTGTAACAAAGTAAATACAATTCCGAAGTAGACACCAAACCCCAAAAGTTCAACCTAAAATATTTTTGAGCAACTTACATTGAGGTCACATTAATCAAAATTTTTTCTATTTTATCTTACCGTGAAACTCCAGCATGGTACATTGGCACTTTTTTATTACAAACTTATTGCGACATTGCATGAGGCAAGCCGGCTTAGAATATGCAAATGACTTCCCGCTGCGGAACATCTCTAGTCTTCTTTGTGTGCAGTTAGTGGCATAAGGTTCAGGCAAATTAGTTACCTGTAAAATGTGTTAACTGGGTTTAGGAATTTCTTGGTGACATAGACATATTGGTGACATCAGCCAGAGCCAAATATATGTAGCTTTGATCTGGGAAATGTTCTTAAATATCACATCCCTATTTGCAGAACTAACAGACTCAGCGAAAGTTTTTTTTCTACAACAATTGCGCACGTAGACGATTTCATTATGTAATTGTTTGAATCCTTGTAAAGTTTTATCTGATTCAAATCTAAAGCTGTAATTTTAAAACTTTAATAAGCTACATTATCTTTTCTATCTTTGGTAATCACCAAGGTTGATTTAGCGAAATGTGGGTGAATTTCTATTCAAGAGAGTATAATATTTAATTGAAAAGACTTTCAGGGATTCGTTTGTAATGCAAATGTCTTTGAATGTGAACAACATTTGCAGATCGCTTGTCCTCTGATATTTCAATTCCTATTGGCCTTTATGTTGACTTAATCAGGTGCGGTTATAACCCGGAAAAATAATGCGCAATACATTAGCTTTTCAAAATTGGCTAGGGCAGCTTGCTTTCCCACGGTCAACAAGTCTTGTTGACTACCAACGAAGAGTTTTACTCTCTTGCCGACGCAGCATAACGATTTCTTTACACCCTTTTACATATATATGTATTACCTGGTTCATTTTAAAGAGAAAATTGTCGAAGAACTGACCAAAATTGCACAAGAAGGAGGTAAGGAATTTTCCAGGGGTTATTAGAGTGTTCTCACCTTTTTCATCTTAATGGAGCAAAATGTGTGAGTCCCTGGTTCAACTGCAAAACCATACTCATCCATAAACGGAAAATTGTAACTGTCATGTACCAGGACAGTTATTCCAACTAAGGGACTACTTGGATTGTCAATGTAACTATCGCGTTGTGTATTCAGAAGAAGCCTCAAACCACTTCTGCGACCAGCTACTATAGCATTCAACAATGGGCGTCCATTCTGGGCCAAGTTGAAAGTATGACATTGACCAAACAAGAAACTCGCGAACGAGGTAAAATTCTCTGGCCCGCACACCAGTCCGCCGAACGAGCATGAAAAAAGTGTGGGTGGAAAGTTTGGAAGAAGCATGTCTTCCATTTGATGACTGTATAGTCTCAGAAAGCTCTCCAGATTTTCACGACTCAAGATATCCGAGAATTTGTTAAGAAAACCGTCCGTGAAGGCCTCGTTTGAGAGTGTAAGGACTTTGGAAATCTGTTTAAGTCTTTTTACCTCCTCAATGTCATGGCTTGCATTTTCAACATGTATTACTCTGTTAACATTCAGCGGGTTAAAATTGCACAGAGTGACGGCAGGGAAAGTTAAGCCATTTTTAGGAGAGCTCCGCGACGAAGTTCGAGTGTTAAATGGTCTGTCAAAATAGTCCCTCAAGGTCCCGAATGCCATGTAGCTACAAAATCCGAGTGATACCGATAGCAATATAGTCCAAGCAAAACGCCTCACCAAACTTTCAGAATGCATGAAACGAGCTCCATGCAAAGTTGTATCAAGAAGAAAGCCTTTGAATGTTTCAATTCTTCCGTTAACATTTTTGTTAATTGCTTCATTGACACCAGTTTCATCTTTTGTGGTCCTCTGAGCGTCGGGACTAAGATCGTGATGAACGGAGTTAGTTTTCGTGTTCCAAAACATCTCAAATGATACTCACAAAAACGATATTCATTTACACTTTGTGGAGATTATGTCAAGGACTATAATTTGCATATAACAAATTGTTATGGCTCCAACGGATCGAAAGTGCAGTTTGTTTTTGATACACGCTGATTAAAATATTGCTACCTTTAGAAGCAGGTGGTCTACTTAATTAAATTTGTTTTCATTTTACTGACTGAACTCAGAACGTCCTCAGACACTGTAAATCCAGCCCAGTTTTATTTGTTAGCCATCAATCAGAAAATCACTTTCTAACACAAACACGATAGCGCAGATAGTTGAACTAACGTCAGGCTTTGTAGCTGACAGCGAATTCAGCGCTCGAAATTACTACAATCGGCTGACGAAAACAAAGGGGGGGAGGGGGGAGGGGTGGATGGGGTGCCATATACAAATACTGTTAAATAATTCTGAGAGAAGCACAAGTAAATATAAAATAATATATGGGCGCGCGTAGATATGGAATTTCTTTTCGAGTATTTAATTCAATAGCTCACGAGTGAGAGTAGTGACTGAGTGGGATGTCGAGTTGAATATGAGAAGAGAAATTCCATATCTACAAGCAACTGTGTATTATTTTGTTTATTATATAAACACAATAGCCCTTTACTGATAAGAAAAGCCGACTTTTTTAATGAATGAAAATAAACGAATCGACAAATTCTAGAATAAAAATCGCACAGTGGGTTGGCGCTAAGGCTCAAGATGGAAAAATGCGTTGAATCATGATTACAAAAACAATTATGGGCGTAATTTTTAAGTTACAAAATTCTCATTCATTGATTCGTCCTTACCGACAGAAGAAATGAAGAACACCGTAGTTTATATGATAAAGCTCCCTATAAAATTTTCCTTCTGGGTAGCTAATTACAAACTATGAACGCGTTTTCCATGATTTTATACGGCGGTATGTTTTATTTTCTATTGGAGGGACCTTTGTTTAAAACATTTCTTTTGAAAAATCATCATTTATTTGAAACATTGCGATTAGTCCTCGAATTATCAAAGCAACTTCTCGTTGTCTCATTTTATGTGTTTGTTCTTCAGAAAATCACAGACAAAAATTGCGCGCGTCCATTTGAAAAATTGATGCCTAAGTATATGGTATTACATATGTAATCACCAATCAGAAAGCGCCAATATTTATTATCATAAAGGAAATTATTGCAATTCAATTTCAGCGCAGATGTTTTGTTTACGTTTCAAATAAATTATTTTCAAGTGAAAGTTGTCAGAGTTCACCCCAGGACAACAAGTAGCCTCAGTTTGATATGCGAGTATTATTGTCGATACGCAACAGGGAAAATGATTACATTTCGAGAACGAAAAAAATCTCGATATTTATTTGAAAAAAGGTTAACTCATCTAAGTTGTGTGTTTTATTCATCCCCGTCAGAATCCATGCAGGCTGTTGGGAGAACGCAAGAAAAGTTTGTAAAACGACGAGCTTGAGGCAAGTGACTTATGAAGTCTCACTTTCCAAGTTTTCGAATTTAAAGGAGCGACCTTGCTCTCATCTTATAACAGATATCAAAAGTCGGAAGAGAAAGGTGAAAAAACCACGACAATGTTTTGACAATAGCCAAAAGTTGATGCCTCAAAATAATCACAGCAAAACAAAAAACCAAACAAAAAAAATGCAATGACACATTTAATCCAAACGATTTTTTTCTCTCAGGATGATAAAATTCAATTTCAATCTCTTGATAAAGGGAACAATAACCACAACAATGATTATACTTTTTAAAACTTTAGTTTTATTCCTTTACATCCCACGGATCGCCTAATGTTCCTTACCTACTATGATTATACTACGGTACCAACAATGATAAGTCGAAATTGCTTTTAACTCCTCTTTCTTTGTTTTTGTCCTTATAGGCAAAGGGCTGTTTGTCTGTATTTTCATGCTAATTCTAAAAAGTTAGGTTATGCACCCGCGGTGGCATCGTAGCTTTTGTATATTTTTAAGTACCGTGAATTTCTTCGTCCACCTTCATAAAACTCTACCACTTGGTGTTAGAGTAAGGCTTTTTTAATTGACTTCTTTATTTGTTTTGAAGAAAAGGTTTTATTATTTTCATCTTTCCTAAATTTTACTTGAAAAAGGAGAAAATAACATACTTTTCAAATAAGAATTTTTAGCATCAAGGTTAAAAATGTCATGAACTGTCAACAATACTCAATTTTTCTTGAACTTCATTAATAATTCAAAACGCTCGCTAATAACTAGTAAAAGATGTCATGCTATTGAAATCGGCCTATGCAGTCTATTTGATCAGTCTGCGATACTTAATAAGGAAAGTCGAGCGGAGGAATAAGTCATAAATCTATGTGCTTTTAGAAAGATCGAAATAAAATGGCGGTTGTACCTAAAGGTAACAGGATGCAAAATACTGAAGAAACTGCTCATGCGATCGCCTCGGTGAATGATAACGGAAACGTAAAGGACGACAGCCAACCCCTAAATCTGAAACGTTCAGATCCTTTGTAGAGGACACATCAATGCACGGAGCACGTTTCTTGTTAAGCAAAAATGTCTTCCGAAGAGGATTTTGGACAGTTCTTCTAATATTAAGCTCTGGTTATTGCTTCTTTCAAATTTACGCGGGTGTCATATTTTATTACCAGCGACCATTTAACGCCAAAATTACGAATATTACACCAAAGTGTGATACTAGTTTGCCTTTTCCCGCTGTCACACTTTGTAACTTGAATCTCTTCAACCTTTTACCAGTTGCCAGATTGAAAGGAACTTGTCCATGGAGACAATCGACGAAAAGCGCGACGTTATCGCCAAATTGTTAGCCCGTTCAAAGGATGTCTTTCACAATGAGACAAAGACTAAGCACCAGGAGTTGTTCTGGCGATTTTATGGCGAAGTTCCGAATATTTTCTTCCTGAATCTCTTCAGTCATGAAATCGAAGAAATGCTCCTTCCAGGGCCAACATTCAACTCTTGTTTGATAGATGAGACAGCATGTGGCCCTGAAAACTTTATCCAGTTTATAAGCTCCACGTATGGTCGATGTTACACTTTTAACTCAGGCCAGAACGGTAATCCTGTAATAAACGCCACCATGGCCGGGCAGCTGAACGGATTGAGGCTGTTGTTGAACATTGAAAGAGAAAGTTATTTGGAAAATCCTCTCAACCCCTTTGTGGGGCTCACAGTTCTTATTCATGATCAGAGAACATTTCCTTTTATGGAACAGTTTGGATTCTTCGTGCAGCCAGGTGTTCGAACTCTCTGCTCAATAAAAAGGAAAAAGGTTTGATTAAAAAAAAACCGATTCTATTCAACCATTGATTTTAAGATTAGTAAGTCACGTATACACTCGATTACATAAATGTTGAGAACTAAAAGGCATTATCCACGAACGATGAGACCCAGAGGCTTTATGAGAAATGTTCCCACAGATGCATTTAAACTGCAATAATTCACTTCTTCATTATTCATGTAAAATTTGCTTTATGATAATCTTTTCCTTCAAGGAAAACTTGGATGGCTTCCATCACTCACTGCGACCCATAAGGCCGTAGGGTCCCATCGTTTATTATAACTAAACGCTTCTTCGGTGTTACCATTTTTGCAATCGACTCTCACAAATCATATACCATACTTGATTCAAATTTTCATGATGCTATAACTAAGGCTTTGCGTAGAAATATGGGTTTGTCACTTACTTTTCCAACCACCTTTGCTTCCTTTTTTCGGTTGAAAGAGCAGAATCGTAAGACGAGAGATCTTCAGAATGACTCTACACGGTTTCCTCTCTTCCATTCCAAAATTTAAGTTCACTCTATGTTTTCTTTTTTTCAGATAGTAAACTTAGAATATCCGTACGTAACTAGCTGCATTAAGAATAGAAAACTGGAAAAGCTGCATAACACTGAGAATTCATATTCCAAGCCTGGCTGTTTAATGCAGTGCTTGGGGCAGTTTGTCATCGCAAGATGTGGTTGCCGACCTGTAGAATATAGAGGTGATATTTTAGTGTATGTTTCTGGTTACAATTTACTTGTAACCTACAAGTTCTTATTATTATTTACACATTTTATCGTTAAGGCGTGTGTATCTCTTTTTATTATTATTATTTTGTTGCAGATTTACAGGTCCCTCTTTGTGCTGCCAATGATACAGTGCTTTGTCTGTTCCCGACGTACAGTAAGTTGCAACTCCAACGTTGTTTCAAGCAGTACCATGATCAGTTTGTCAGTATCAAATGTTTCAATAACCGCCAGTTGATCGTCGATCGGTATATTAGATGGTTATTGCGTCAGTTTATCTTATCTAAATTCAACTGATGATTATAGATACTAGTCTCATATATAATTGATAACAATGTCATTTTACTCTCTGGATGCAGGAAAATATGGAAAATCGACGTTCAGAGATAAATGTGAAGAAAGTTGTCGTGAACCTTGCCAGCACACTGAATACGAAACATTCCTGTCTTATGCTGGGTTGCAGAGGGAAGTCTTTGCAGAAAAACTTAGCTCAAATGTGAATTTGACCGGGGACTTTCTTCTCTACGAGAACTTCTTGAACTTGTCAGATCGTGAGAAAAAGGAATACATAGAGTAAGTGGCGTGTAATATGGCGTCATATGCCTTTAAACTACCTTCCCTCTTTCTGTCATGTGTTCTGAAATGTGCAGTTTGTTAGCGACTTCCCTTTGGTATTCCAAATACACGACAGATAGCTTCGAGAGCAAAGATATTTTCCCGATTTCCTGCACAATTCAACTACCTTTAACCACTGGCCTGGAAGAAAATGACCACAAAAATTGTTATTAAAAATAGGGAGCTCTTAGCCAAAGCTTGATAGCGATGGGGGTCAATTCAACTCTGTATCTTTTCACAGCGAAAACATCATTTCACTGGATATTTTTTTCAATGACATGAGTTATGATGAAATAACACAGACCAAGGCTTACGAGGCATGGACATTACTTGGTAAGTTATGTCGTCGTTAAGATTAATAATTGAAGTTACACTTAATAAATTGTAAAGTGAGTAACAACCAGCGAGATGATTTCAATCTGAAGAAGAGTCTTTGAAAATTCCGTGTATCTATTTATTTATCTCAGAGAGTCAACGAACATACGAACGAATGAACGAAGGAAAGAACGAACGAATGACTGAACGAATGAACGAATGAATGAACGAAAGAATGAGCGAAAGACTAAACGAACGAATGAACGAACGAATGAATGAACGAATGAATGAATGAATGAACGAAAGAATGAGCGAAAGACTGAGCGAACGAATGAACGAAAGAATGAACGAAAGAACGAACGAACGAACGAATGACTGAACGAATGAATGAACGAAAGAATGAGCGAAAGACTAAACGAACGAATGAACGAACGAATGAACGAACGAATGAATGAATGAATGAACGAAAGAATGAGCGAAAGAATGAACGAACGACCAAACGAATAAACGAACGAATGAACGTATGAATGAATGAATGAATGAATAAATAAACAGAACGGAAGAATGAAAAATGAACGAATCGGCGAATGTATGAATGAAAGAATGGGCGCATTATACAAATAGAAGAAAGAAAAATCGAGGAAATCCATACAGGTGAGCCGCGAAAGTTTTAAGTAACCGAAGACATGACGCATTGATTAAGGAGAAACAGACAGAATGAAAAATTGGGTCACCAGGTATATCAGAATAAAAGATACATGCAACACAAAAAAAGGTATATATGAATATTCTCTCTTTTTGTTTTCTAGCAAATTTGGGTGGAACTTTTGGTCTTTTCCTTGGAATCAGTATACTCACCGTTCTTGAATTGCTGGAATTCATCATCAGAAGGATTTGGTCCAACATATGCAAATAAGAAGGCGGATATTGATAATGATAATGATGATAATGATTTTAATATTGATAATAGCGATGAAATAAAAGATATTGTATTCGTCCTTTTTCTTCAGAATTACAAAATCATTAAGAAACTATAGCCCAGAAATAAACCAATATGTATGTGTGTATGTGGTAAAACTAAAAAACTAACTGAGATTTTTCACATGATTGTAATAATTTCATTTTGTGATTATAGATTTCGTCAAAATTCAGATATGAATACAGCTGTTCGTGTGTGTTACATGCTCGGTAAATCAAAAGAAATAAATTTGTGAAAACCATTTGAAAATCCTCCATCATTTCTTAGTTATTTCGGAAAAATAAAGAAAGTTTTAAAGATGTATGGAGGGTCAGAAAGAAAAAAAGTAATTATATTCAGGTTTTTTTTTTAGTTTTGAACGTGACAGATTTAGCCAACTGAAATATTCCGGTGCAGTTTTTGCTTAGCTTTTTTGCTTCGCATTTGTGCACCAGTAAATGCTGAGCAATTTTTCAATAAAGGCAAATCTGCTTATGAAAGTAAAAAATTATATATATATAAGAAACGTTTTTTCCTAAATCAAAAGGTAAATGGATGAACGTAAGAAGGCTCTTTCATAAATAACATTTTGCGGACCAGAAGAATTGCGTGACTAACAATTATGGAAAATATGTAAATTTGCCTTTAAGTCTCACGAGCGTGGGATAGAAAAAATAATTAGTCCTCACGAGGATTAAAACCTCGAACTATTGAATTCCACTCTCGACAAGACGAAAACACTTCCCCCTGTACCAACTCATGTGTAAATATTTCCAGGGCCCAGATAATTTGAAATCGGTATGTATATGTATCTGACCTCAAATACTACCGTACTGGAGTTAAGTTACTTGCCTTTTTTTATAGTTTGTATTTATTTGTCTATCTACTTTTTTTCCCTTTTATTTATTTATTGTTGTTGTTGTTTTTTTGGAAACCCTAATTTTTGGTAAAAGGAGGATATGAGAAGACCCCCTATTCAACATCTTTGGGATTAAATATATCATATGTTTGTTTGGTTCGAACGTAACACAACTACATTTTTCAGTATCTACTCCAGTTTGCCCATGCCAGCCTCGTAGGAACTAGGCAAGAAGGAATTGCAGTGATGTAGAGCTCATGATGCTGAGGTTATCAAGTTTCGCATCAGTGTCGTTATTGAAGCCGAGAGTTGGATAACTTCACCTGAAAATTCAGCTTGAAAGATGTATTTTGGTTAGGCTCTGAACTTGAGACACGCACATAAACGTTTCCATGGCACGCTCGAGTGGTTCCACTGAAAACCATATCCGATGTCAGGGAAAAAAATGGTCAAAATCTATTCTTTTTTCTAGACTAATGCAGCTTAAAAATCCTACCCTCTCAGGGGTGGCACATACCTTTTTAATATCATACCGACGTTTATAAAAATGTGTTTTTGTAACCGTTATTAATAGTTCAGCTTTGATTGCAGACTACTTGAGACCTCTTAACAGATCATGTTCCAGTCTAATGCACTTCAAAAGAGGCCGAGTATTAGTTGTTCTTAACAAGACCAAATATTCATTTCAATAACCTACTTCTAAGGTTGTCACCGGTCTTCTTTTGGAAATGACGCTCGATCTCACTATACAGTGAGAGCATTATTGTATTTGCAGACCGTGATGAAGTGGAAGATGAGGGAATTAATGCAATCTGAAGTTGTTTGCCCAAGGCCATTTCGTTTTTTTTTCCTATCGTGAAACCAAACAAGTCCCACATGAAATTATGCAAGATTTATCGGCCATCTGTTTCTGAAATAACTGTTTCCAGCCAAAATGAATTCGCAAATTTTGGTGCATGTTCTATATTTCAGCTAAAATATTGTCTGTGAAAGTTGTCCAAGAATTATTTATTTTGACAAACGAGAATCCCTTTGACTAGCCGCTTTTACCAAAATCTTAGATAATTGTTGGCTTTTAGCCACTACATTAACACGTACTAAACCTTGCTTTTCAGTTTTAATTTATTTTTTATAAAAAAAGGCATATAAATATTTATAATATAAGCATCATCCACAACTGTCACAACTTGTAGAAGACGGAAAAATATTAGTCCTGTAAGAAATAAAAACACAACAAAAACGAGAGAGATGGCTAACAGAAGGCTGAAGATGAAGAAGATTGGAACGGATTGGAATTGGAGAGCATAAAAATTAAGAAAGTTTCCTGCCAAATACTCTGTTAGTGATCTTCAGCAATTAGCTGCTCAAGGACAGAGATTTCTTGTCAACATAAGGGATCCTTTTTTCCTAATCTTATTTATTCTAAAACTGACTGGTCATTTCAGATGGGTCACTTACACCTCTGGGCTTATCCCGTCCAATTTTAGGGCTAACGCCGATTTTCTCAGTTTGTCTTCTGGTAGAGCGAAACGAAGATATGTACGAGCTCGATCCATCAAAAATATGCCCACCAATGCACATCTGCCAGCAATCGCTAAATGCCCTGCGATATTTAGGAACCCTCCAGGCGTAAACAAAGGGATTTAAAGCAGAATTGATATACAAAAAGCGAGACAATACCACGTCAATCATATGAAAAGTTTTGGAGTCTCGGCATGATTCGCAGAAGTACAGTAAGTGTAAAGTGATATATTGAGGCATGTACGTGATGAAAAACAACATGAGAATGACGATGATTGTGACAGCCATATTACGCTTCCTTTCCAGTGAATTTGCAGCTATCGAGTTGTAGCCACCCTCTTGCAGTTCGCGAGCTCTTTTACCAAGCGCGCGAAATACATGTACATAGATTACCGTCAATAAAATGGCCGGCAGAGTAGCGTGAGTGTGAAGATAAATTAAGGTATACGTTTCCTCCGAAACATTTGTCACAGGAAGAATGCACGTTGTTAACGATATCAACCACAACACAGCTATAAAAATCTTGGTTCTTCGCTTGGTAATAATGGATTTGTATTCCATCGGTTTGCTGATTGCTATGTCGCAAGTTAGTGACATGGCTATGATCGAGTAAGAGCTCACGAACAAAGTCGTCGTGACAACTGTGTATATTATTGCTCTAAAAAGCATCGCAGACGGCATCTGTTGAAGTTGAGATCGATAGACATCTCTTATAGCCACGACGAGGACATTTAGCCCCAGCAGTAAATCTGACACGCTAAGATTCGTGATCAAATAAGATGGCGGTGTACGTAGGGAGCGTCGCGGATTCTTGTATGTTGTGAACAAAAGAATAGAGTTTCCTACGATGATAACAATTGCTAAAATAAATCCAACCACAGCTAAGCTCAACCAGTATTCCTTGTCTTGAATGATCATGAGATAAAAGTCATCATTTGGATCAGATAAATTCGCCATATTCTTTTTGGCTGGCGCACGAAGGTTGTAACACGACGACAGGAAATATATCTGAAGCTATCTTAATCTGTTGCCAAACGTCACGGTGGATGATCACGTATTGAGCTCATAGTACATGAGAACAAAACCCAAAATAGTTATTTATTTCGCCGTGCCGCGCCCCCGTTGCTCTTGCTGCGGACTTCTATTTAATTAAGAGGTCAAATTCCATCAGTGTTATTGTAGTTTGTTCGGTTTGTCTATCAACCTCTCTTTCTTCTTAGCCGTAGGCATGTAATCTCAAATCCGAACTGCATTATTTTCAAGCCGATTAGCGCAGGACGAATGATGCAATTCAGAAAAAAGCTTAATTCACGGCGCTTGTGATCGATAAGACATATGCACAAATCGACTTTAAACTACGTTTATTTATCTGTATCCTTTATTCCTAATAAAGGACAAACATCATCAACACCCACATTTGTCGTCCAGAAATCAAAAAAAGTTCGAGATGTTTCGTTTTGAACACGCACTACAGGCGAAAGTGAAATATCACGAAAGGGTCAGAGGGAATAACAAGAGAATCGTATTGGCCCCGATTTCCGTCTAAATTTCATGCATGGAAATGGTAGCGATGTATGATTGTGTGTAAGACCGATATTTTTGTTATCATTTTGTGTTGCAATTATTTCTACATCTTTTGCTGTAAGCTGTTGCTGTGATTAGGAATGAAAATTGAACGAAAGAGTACGGAAAGTGCGGTGGGAGGGGGGATGGGGGAGGGGCGGGGTTGCCGAGGCTTTCTCAGGGAAAGAGGGTCTCAATAGGTGGTGGCTCTTACGGCTAACGGTTAAAATTTTGGCCATTTTACGGCTAACGGTTAAAATTTTGGCCATTTTACGGCTAACGGTTACCATCATTCCATCGTTGTCACCACAAATCTTTTTTACGGTTAACATTTTCTACGACTATTAAAATTTATCAATTCTTACGCCTAAAGGCTACAATGTTTTGGCCGTTTTGCGACTATCGGTTAACCCGATAGTCGTAATCCCATCGAGACAAGGAACCATCCTAATTCCTTCCCAAGACGATCTATATCCTTTGAGGTTTTTGCGTGATAACAGCGCCCACACACCACCGGATTTGATTCGTCTGCCCTTGCTTCAATGCCTTAGCAAGCCCTTCCGTAGCCGCTCATTGATGTGTCATTATATTGTAATTATTCATCCATCTTCCCGGTTTCACAAGCAAATAAAAATGTCTGGTTAAAGGAAGTTGTTAAGTAGCGGCGTAATTCATAAAAATTTGAATTGGCCTTAAAAGCTCCCCATCAATATATTATTTAATTATTCAGAAAAACATTAAATGCTCTTTTCATGTACAATTAATTTTTCGGAGACAATGGCTTCAATTTATAAAGATATCCCGTTGACTTTTATAAAACATATTGGAGGAAATTTTTTACGTGATTTGAAAAATCCTAGGAAAAAATATTTACAGTCATAGAGTTGAGTTTCACATTTATATATCAATTGTGCATCAAGGAAAACTAAGCTCAAAAATGACATGAGTGAGATTTTTTTTCTTTCTGTTTTAAAAAGGAATTTTACACTCTACTAGAAAAAGAGTGACACTTTTTTCATCTTTTTTCCTTGTGATGTGCAAATTTACCCTCCACTTGAGAGAAACCACTAATCATTAAAGAAAAATGTTGAGTATTCGGCTGGAGTAACAAGGATTCGATCGAACTGTAACCAAAGTAACATGTGTTTTAAAAAATGTTAAGTATTCGGCTTGCGTAAGGGTTTGACCTTCTGTCAAAAGTTATTAAAAAAAAAAAATTGACAAATTTTTTTTGCCAGAAACAAAAACACCGACGACGAACTGAGGACCAAAAATGAACTCGGTGCTAAGGGTGAAGAAAAACTGACTTGAATTTCAAATTGCGAACTTAAAAATTTAGGCTGAACTTTCTAGAGTCAGCAACCGTGACAAAACAGATCAATACTATATTGTTTCCATGTCACTTTTGTCTTTATTCTATGACAGATGTGGTTATCTACTTTAGTGCCAAGATATTGACATCCCACGCCGTCAATATTCAAAAACAAGCTCACTCAGTTTTTCACTTAAGGTATTTTCGTCTTTTGCGAATAAATAAAAAATTACGCCATAAATAACAATTTTTTGGTTACCTCTTAAATAATAAATTAATTTCAACCTTCGCCTTCATAAAGTTTGACGCTTTTAAGACTTATCATGGTCGACGAGTGGCTCTCAATTGGAATTATTGTCATAATAATTATAACATTGTAGATATTGATGTCAAGCTCTGGTTTGGTTGACTTCCTTTAGTTTGCCAATTTTCCGGTTTAAATTCTTCGGGCTTTCGAGGATGTTTCTAGCCCTGTGTGTTCCCTATCAGCTTCCATTCAGCGTTCATTCGAGTCTCTTTCGGATAATCTTCAAACATTCAAAGAAAGCAGAGCGATACTTTGGAACCCTCCAGGCGTAGACAAAGGGATTCATAGCTGAACTTAGACACAAAAGCCTAGAGGCTGCCACATCAACTTTGTGAAAATTTATCGATTCTTGACAAGACTTGCAGAAGTGAAGCAGATGTACCGTTATGTACTGAGGCATGTAGGTCATGAAAAATAATCCCAGAATTATAATGACGGTCAAAGTCATCTTCCGCTGTCGCTCCAACACGTGTTTGTTGTCCGAGATTGATTTACTTCCACTCAGTTGAAGATCGCGCGATCGTCTCGCGAGAGCACGAAACACGCTCACATAAATCAACGTTAGTAACACGGCAGGTAGCGAGGCATGAGTGTGAGCGTAAATGAGCTCGTAAATATTTTGGGGAACACTCGTTACTGGAAAAACGCACGTTGATAACGATATCACCCATACCACAACGATAAATATCTTAATTCGCTTCGCTGTTATGATAGATTTATGTTCCAGCGGCCTGCTGATTGCGATATAACAAGCGATTGACATTGCTATTATAGAATATCCGCCAATGAAGACAGTAGTAATGTGAATAATGTATATAACAGCCTTTATGACACCAATAAAAGGCATATGGAGTTGTTTATACCGATAGGTGTCTCGCACAGCTATCAGAAGAACACCAAACCCCAGCAGTAAATCTGACACGCTTAAATTTGCGATCAGAAGTGAAGAAGGCGAGCGTAGGGACTTGCGCGGATCTTGGTAAATTGTGAACAACAGAAAGGCATTCGTAAAGATGATGGCGGTAGCAAAAATGTATCCTACTATAGTTAAAGTCAACCAGTAAATTGGATCATCGATTATCGACAAATAAAAGTCATGGCTCGGATTTGAAGCATTTTGGGTGATCATAGTGGCTCGAGCAGAACGACGGCTCAGTTCCCTCAGTACGGTGGTTGTAGCACGCTGCTTACTTTAAACTTTTCTTGTTGACTACAGTTCAAGTTCATTACTGAGCGAATGCAATATCGTCTTTAATTCGCCATCACAGCAACAACCTCGTCATGCAAAGTTCCTGAGAGATGAATTGATCGTAGAAACCTGACCATGATTTCCGCTTTAAGTCACGAATAACCTTAGGGTAGTTTGTAATTTCTCTCATTCGTCTCTCATTCAGCATTAAATGTAACGTCAGAAAAGAGTTCTTCTAACTCTTTTTTTCACCCTTGGGAAGAAAAGAACCTTTGTTTGTCAATTTGACTTTGTTTATATGACTAAATAAAGGTGACTGAGGCTTAGAGTTGTGTAACAACGGATGGACATGACACGGAAATGATACCATTGATCTTTGTTCGTTAATACTACTTTAGTTATATGGTAACAGAACAAACCAAGCATTTTATTTGACTTTACTTATGGCTAAAGGAGGGTAACTAAGGCTTAAGGTTGCGTAAAACGGATGGATATGACGAGGAATATCATTGACCTTTATTAGTTGATATACTGTTTACATAAAATGACTCTAAGACGAGAGTATTTCCTCTGCCTACTAAAGGATGGATATGACGTGGAATATCGTCGGCCCGGCCTTGTCCGTAAATTCTACTTAACTTAAACTCCGTATACATTGTAAAATGACAGCAAGGTATTTGCAATGTACACCGAAAGGATTTGAAAAGGAATTGATATTGCACTTCGTTTGCTAATTCCTCTTAAATTATGAAGGAGACGATCGTACGCTAACTCAGTGCCCCTTTCATGGTGGAAAAAATAACATTTAAAACCATGTTCGTCCCATTTTCGCTTGATTCACGGAACAAAAGTTATTGTGTCTCGATAAAGCGAAAAACTGATAAGCGTTTTAAAAATATTTTTTCATGGGCAGACTGTAGGCTTGGTCACGTACAACTATGAAAAACGAGTTCGTGCTTCTCAACTGAGTGGAGTTCCGGAGGTAAAAAATGCATTCATTTTATTGCGTAAAATCACTTAACCTCAATGAAGCGCAACATAACAATATTTCTTAATTCCTAAATGTTTCTTTTTTCTTTTGTTTTGGCAACCTACATGTTATCAGTCGCTGATAATATGTTGGATAAACAAACCTGTTTGGCTGAAAGTGACAAGGCTTGAACATGCTCACTAACTTGTTATTCATAGGGAGCGTTGTATAGAGGTCATTACATGCTAATTAAAAAACCAGTAGACCTCAATTAATTGTTTTATCGTTCATAATTGAAATTAACGAGGCTGTTGTTTTGGCTGCTGCTGTTCTGGTTTCCGCTGTTTTGGCTACTGAACTTTTCGGTTATGTCCTCCGAATAGCAGTTCTTCCGTGGTATTTCCTTCACATCTTAACCACATTTAACCCTAAAAAACACTCCTAACATGATTCGCACAAAAAAAAGCGGTTTTCAAACTTCTCTTGGAGCCTCATATGAACTTTGTCCGCCGGTTGGAGTAATTAATTCAGAAAACTCTTTTCATAATTCTAAAGGAATTAATTCCTCTAGGTTTACTCTCAGTTCATGAACAAAAGTTCGCTGCTTTCTAGTTTTTTATCATTTTTTCCCTTCAAATTGAACGAAGCTTAAAAAAAGTTTAGACTCCATTAATTGTCATTGTCGTAACGACCTTGTAATTCACGCTTCAAAGTTGACTTTAGTTTACTTTGGAGAGCTTTCCAGCAGCTTACCAGAGATCGGCGGTATTTCGGCATTCTCCAAGCGTAAACAAATGGATTTATAGCCGAATTGAAGAATATAAGGCGCGAAGTGATCACGTCGGTTTTATGAAACCTTATTGAATCTTCGTTGATTTGGCAAGGGCTGCAAAAGTTCTCCAGATGAAAAATTATAAATCGTGGGAGGTAACTGATGTAGAACATCATTAGAATTGTCGTCACTATCACAGCCATGTTTCGTTTACGTTCCAAAGCGAGCTTGTGGTTTCTGACCGACGCGTTCGTACTTTGGAGAAGTTCTCGGCGTCGGCGCGAAAGGGAACGAAAACCTTTTATGTAGATAATCATGAGAAGCAAGGCCGGCAGAGATATGTGAGTGTGCATATATATGAGCATGAACGTATTTTCAGGAATAGTCGTCACCGGAAGGCAGCAGATAAGAACTGATGCTATCCATACCATGATTATCAACCAGTAAATTCTCTTCTTTGTCATGTTTGTCTTGTATCGAATGGGATTGTCGATGGCGTAAAAGCAAGCTGCTGACATCGCAACGATGGTAGCGCTACTGACAAAGAGTGTTGCGCTCAGAATGCATGATGTGATAGTTCCCACAATTGACGGTAATGGTACCATTTGTAGGAAAGATCGATACACATCCCTTAACGTCACCATAGGGATTACACACAACCCCACAAGCAAATCTGCCAAGCCTAAATTCGCGATCAACAGACATGGCGGAGTTCGAAGCGACCTCAAAGGATCGTGCCAAATGGTTGCTAGCAATATAGAATTTGCAACCACAGTCACAGCTGACAAGGCGAAACCAACCACAGCTAAAGTCAGCCAGTACTCTGGCTCATTTATGATCTGAAGGTAAACGTCAGACGGGACACGACTTGTTGAATTTTGCCAGCTCATGGTCGTCGCCTCATCGAGATGGCTCGAAACAAATTACGTCAGATTCCCATAACTTTTTCTCGCGAGTGTACCAATATCAACTGTATTGTGGCCGAAATTAAATTACAAGGATCGTTGCCCACAACTAACTTTGAGGAGGATACAAAAGCACGCCTTTGAGCCCTTAAATTAGAAGTTTACTTTTGAAACCGAAAGTACATCTGAATTCAATTTTAATTGGAAGTATTGAAAAATATCTTCTCAAGCAGAAATACTATCGGACAGTTTTGGTCTAGAGGATATTGCACATGTAATGAACCACCGAGAAGAACATTACATGCTTGTACCAAACATAAGATAAAAGAGATTTTCATTAAAAGCAATACAATATGACATTATGACAGTAAAACTGTAGATATAAAAATGTAACACTTCGATCATGAGTGAGAATATGGTTGCTTTTAATTAGTTTTCATTCTTTTAAAATTCAGGCTTTCAAGCTCGCACTTCGGTTAAAGCCGGTGCAAAGCTAAAAGTAAAACAGAGCGAGATTTGTATCGAATATAGAATGAAATCTCCCAACGAAACTTATCATGTAAACACCGATAAAATACCAAGTAATTGAAAGCTTTTGCGCGAAAAATGGTATCCTCACATGGTACAGATAACATGTTCGCTCACTCGTGGAATATTTTTTAGCACTGGAAGACAAATTTCTTATCTCCGAGCGGCCATGTAATATCTTCTAGTTCATACTCAAGGTTTTTGTCTTGTTCGAAATTTTATCTGATTGGCCAAAGGGAATTTGTGAATTTACTTTATGAAGGTGTTTTGAATCTTGGCTCGGAGGTCATCCCGCTCAATTAGTCCAACATGGAAAGAGTTCTTAATGAGATGCATGAATCAATTTAGTGTTTACGTGTAGGAAGTTTAAAGTTTATTGAACTCATACTAATTTTTCTGGGAAAGTGTCTGGAGGTCGCAAAGTGAAGTGTTTTCTGGAATAGCTGAGCTGGAATTTTTTTTGGCACCAATTCTCAAATCTTACTCCAGATTTGAATAATTTATAAAGTTGAAATCAAAATTATGTAATCACCTCAGATCGGTGTGAGAAAAATTTGGGCCTGTAAAAACCATTAAAGAGTCATATAATTATAGAGATATTTGTAGTCCATGCTTTACAACTGTCAGCTGAGTGAACAGTAAGTTACTCACGCACGTTTATCGTAAATAAAACAAGCCGACAGCCTGAGACCCTAAAGCACATTTCATGGGACTGCCTTGCACCCACCGTTTAAAACGTAGTGATTTGGTAATAAAAAGGAACCGGGTCAGCGACAAACCCGTGCTACGGTAATAGCAAGCGCGTAATGTTTCTCAAATTATGACGTGAACTTTAATATATATATATGTGTAAATACATATGTTCACACTTAAGTTATCCAAAACTCTATCACTCTTAGCCGCGCTGACAGTTACAATATGTACCAAAACAAATGCAGACGGATTCAGCCTTCACCAGTTTCCCCTAACCCTGGATGCTGGACAATACATCTGGCTTCTGCCTGCAACTGTTCCACCGTAACATCCTCCAATTTTTATTTTTGACCACATCTACTTCTTGGCAAAAGATGTTTTATTTCTCCCTCCACATTAATTGGCAGTTACCACACTTACGCCTTGTAATAAAAAAAGCCAGTAAAGCAGCAATTTTTTCACGATGTTGAATAGAAGAAATAGAGAACAAAACTTGTTTGATTGGCTTAACCAAAAGGAACAGTTATCAGCGTAGTAACTGTTACAAACGTGAGAGACAGTTCAAACTTTAGGCTATAAACAAGGTGCAAAGACCACAAGTAAACAATAAGTTAACATTAAGAGGATTTTCATTTATCATATGCGAATACCATATTTTGCTGAATTGTGTTTTAAAGTAAATCCCGAGAAATCTTTAGTAGTTCGCCAAATTCAGCGCAGGAAAACTTAAAACCGATTCAGTTACGTGGAAATGTGTATAATCCATCCAATTCACCTCCACAAGTGTGCATGCTTATATTTTCAGTCAGTAAAACCTTAGCTTCGGAAGGTGCGTGCGTGTAGCATAGAAGCACTTCGCTCCCATGGTATTCAAGAG